GAACGAGGGTTTAATGTCAACATGCAGCCCCCCTTTTACAAATAGGGTATACACGGGACACATTTCAGCCAATTCCTGATAAGCTGACCAAAATTCACGCAGTGGGTGCCGCTGTCAGCATTCTCCCATCAGGCATTCTTGGCTGAACAGAGTTTGCAGTCAAGCAGCTGTTAGCTCAGTTTGGGTTTTCGGCTGGCGGCCGATGCAGACAGTCGAGGATTCCCCTATTAATACTCGTAAGTGTTGATGAATGAACCTGTTCTATTTTTTTTTTTTCATTCAACCTGTGGGGTGAAAGAAAAAAATAGAAATGTGTATACTCATCTTTACTCTCTATGATATATTTGGCAGTGCTACAGCACCCACCGAGAGACAACAGGGAACATAAAGGTTAGGTGTGCAATGGGATATCTGCATTTGCCCACACTTCAATTGTCATCTGTTGGGCAGCCCATTGGGCAGTCAATAAAGCCATTTTGATGAAGATTTTGGTGTGCTGGTGACTTAAGTCTGGTACAGACAGTTCGAATTTTGGCCGGTTTCTGATATACTGGCCAAAATTTGAACTGTTGGTGCCACTGTCAGCATCCTTCCTCTCGACAGCCGCCAATCAGCTGATTAATGGAGTCGGTTGGAAAAATCCCAGGCGAACGGAGCTTGCAGTCAATCCGCTGCTGACTGGATGCTGTCACAATACAATGCAAACAACAGGGGATTCATCCGCCAATGCTCGTAAGCATTGATGGAGGTACCTGTTCTATTTTAGAACAGAAACGTTGTATACCCAACTTTACATACTCTCTATGTTATATTCGGCAGTGTCATCCATTTGTCACTACAGCACCCAATGAGAGACAACAGGGAGCATACCAGTTAGGTGTGCCATGGGATATCTGCAAAAAAAAAAAAAAGATGCACACGCTTCAATTGTGCAATTAGCATGTGTTGGGCGGCCCATTTGGCAGGCGATAAAGGCATTTTGATGATGAAGATTTTGCTGTGCTGGTGACTTGCTCTCGTATATTCTACTTCACCATCTGCTTGTCACTACAGCACCCATCCAGAGACAAAAAAGGGACTTAAGTAGGGTATACATGGGATGCATTTTGACTGGTTTCTGATGTTGGCACCCTTCCACCCTGTATCCTGGCATCTAGCGGCCACTGTCAGAATACAATAGAAACAGCAGGGAATTCATCCATTATTGGCCTTTGCCCGCGGATTGAATTAAAAAAAATAGAAATATGTATACCCAACTTCACTCTCTATGTTATATCTGACATTGCCATCCGCTTGTCACCTCAGAACCTCCCGAGAGACAACAGGGGACATACCAATTAGGTGTGCAATGGGATACCGCCATAAAAAAAGATGCACATGCTTCAATTGTGTGATTGTCATGCGTTGGGTAGCCCATTAAAATGAATAGGCTGCCCAAATGCGCTGCATTCTAACAGTTTTTAAAACGTGCATACCCACCAGCATGCTAATGTTTGTAAAATGTGCATACCCACTAACATCCTTACACTTACAAAAGTGCAAACTCACCAGCATCATAAAGCTTGTAAAAGGCACATACCGACCGTCAACCTAAGGCTTGTAAAATGTGCATACACACCAGCATTCTAATGCTTGTAAAAGGCGCATACCCACCAGCATTCTAACGCTTGTAAAAGGTGCATACCCACCAGCATCCTAATGTAATGCTTGTAATAGGTGCATACCCACCACTATCCTAACGCTTGTAAACCATGCATACCCACCAGCATCCTAATGTAATGCTTGTAAAATGTGCATACCCACCAGCATGCTTATGCTTGTAAAATGCGCATACCCACCAGCATCCTAACGATTGTAAAAGGCGCATACCCACCAGCATCCTAATGTAATGCTTGTAAAAGGTGCATACCCACCACTATCCTAACGCTTGTAAACCATGCATACCCACCAGCATCCTAATGTAATGCTTGTAAAATGTGCATACCCACCAGCATGCTTATGCTTGTAAAATGTGCATACCCACCAGCATCCTAACGATTGTAAAAGGTGCATACCCACCAGCATCCTAATGTAATGCTTGTAAAAGGCGCATACCCACCGGCATCCTAATGCTTGTAAAAGGTGCATATCCACCAGTAAACGAATGCTTGTAAAAGGCGCATAGCCACCAGCATACTTATGATTGTAAAACGCGCATACCCACCAGCATCCTAACGCTTGTAAAGGCGCATACCCACCAGTAACCTAATGCTTGTAAGAGGCGCATACCCACCAGCATCCTAACGCTTGTAAAAGGTGCATACCCACCAGCATCCTACCGCTTGTAAAAGGTGCATACCCAGCAGCATCCTAACGCTTGTAAAAGGCGCATACCCACCACCATCCTAAGGCTTATAAAAGGCGCATACCCACCACCATCCTAAGGCTTGTAAAAGGCGCATACCCACCAACATACTAACGCTTATAAAAGGCACATACCCACCGGTAACCTAATGCTTGTAAGAGGCACATACCCACCAGTAACCTAATGCTTGTAAAAGGCGCATACCCACCACCATCCTAAGGCTTATAAAAGGCGCATACTCACCACCATCCTAAGGCTTGTAAAAGGCACATACCCACCAGTAACCTAATGCTTGTAAAAGGTGCATACCCACTAGCATCCTAACGCTTGTAAAACGTGTATACCCACCCCACCAGCATCCTAACGCTAGTAAAGGCGCATACCCACCAGAATCCTAACGCTTGTAAAATGTGCATACCCACCCCACCAGCATCCTAATGCTTGTAAAAGGCGCATACCCACCGGTATCATAATGCTTCTAAAACGCGTATACTCACCAGCATCCTAAAGCTTGTAAAAGGCAAATACTCACCATTATCCTAGTGCTTGTAAAAGGCGCATACCCACTTATATCCTAATGCTTGTAAACGGCGCATACCAACTGGCTTCCTAAAGCTTGTAAAACATGCATACCCACCGGCATCATAATGCTTCTAAAACGCGTATACTCACCAGCATCCTAAAGCTTGTAAAAGGCAAATACTCACCATTATCCTAGTGCTTGTAAAAGGCGCATACCCACTTATATCCTAATGCTTGTAAACGGCGCATACCAACTGGCTTCCTAAAGCTTGTAAAACATGCATACCCACCGGCATCATAATGCTTGTAAAAGGCGCATACACACCGGCATCCTAATGCTTGTAAAAGGCGCATACCAACTGGCATCCTAACGCTTGTAAAAGGCCCATACCCACTAGTATCCTAACGCTTGTAAAAGGAGCATACCCACCAGCATCCTACCGCTTGTAAAACGTGTATACCCACCACCATCCTATTGCTTGTAAAGGCGCATACCCACCAGCATCCTAACAATTGTAAAAGGCGCATACCCACCAGCATACTAATGTAATGCTTGTAAAAGGCGCATACCCACCGGCATCCTAATGCTTGTAAAAGGTGCATATCCACCAGTAAACGAATGCTTGTAAAAGGCGCATAGCCACCAGCATACTTATGATTGTAAAACGCGCATACCCACCAGCATCCTAACGCTTGTAAAGGCGCATACCCACCAGTAACCTAATGCTTGTAAGAGGCGCATACCCACCAGCATCCTAACGCTTGTAAAAGGTGCATACCCCCCAGCATCCTAACGCTTGTAAAAGGCGCATACCCACCACCATCCTAAGGCTTATAAAAGGCGCATACTCACCACCATCCTAAGGCTTGTAAAAGGCACATACCCACCAGTAACCTAATGCTTGTAAAAGGTGCATACCCACCGGCATCCTAATGCTTGTAAAAGGCGCATACCCACCGGCATCCTAACGCTTGTAAAAGGTGCATACCCACCGGTATCCTAACGCTTGTAAAAGGCGCATACCCACCAGCATCCTAACGCTTGTAAAAGGAGCATACCCACCAGCATCCTACCGCTTGTAAAACGCGTATACCCACCCCACCAGCATCCTAACGCTTGTAAAGGTGCGTACCCACGAATATCTTAACGCTTGTAAAAGGCGCATACCCACCGGTATCATAATGCTTCTAAAGCGCGCATACCCACCAGAATCCTAGTGCTTGTAAAAGGCAAATACTCACCATTATCCTAATGCTTATAAAAGGCACATACCCACTGGTATCCTAATGCTTGTAAACGGCGCATACCAACTGGCATCCTAATGCTTGTACAACATGCATACCCACCGGCATCCTAATGCTTGCAAAAGGGCGCAGACCCACCGGCATCCTAATGCTTGTAAAAGCCGCAGACCCACCGGCATCCTAATGCTTGTAAAATGTGCATACCCACCGGCATCCTAATGCTTGTAAAATGCGCATACCCACCGGCATCCTAATGCTTGTAAAAGGCGCAGACCCACCGGCATCCTAATGCTTGTAAAATGCGCATACCCACTAGCATCGTAATGCTTGTAAAAGGCGCATACCCACCGGCATCCTAAAGCTTGTAAAAGGCGCATACTCACCGGCATCCTAACGCTTGTAAAAGGCGCATACCCACCGGCATCCTTAAGCTTGTAAAAGACGCATACCCACCCCACCAGCATCCTAACACTTGCAAAATGTGCATACTGGTGTGAACTAGGGTTGGCGATCAGCGAGTGCTCCCTCATGCCTTTTCGTGCACATGCCAATGACTGCCTAGGAAAGTAAAGTTGGCACTGTCCTATAGACAGAGTATAGCTCCTGGGTCTGCTGGTTAGTCAGTAGAAGGCTCTGAGCCCGGGCTAGCCTGCACCCCACAGCCAGGAGAAACACTTGACCTTGGCTCACCCTGCTCTCCCTCCAGTGCCCGGCTCCCCCCGCAGCGCTGGTGCTGGTGGTGCTGAAGCAGGGAGAGGCTTTGCTGCAGTGGCTCCGCTCTCCTCTCCTCTCTCTCTATTGCTGCTCTAGAAGCACATATTCATGCCATTTCTAACACACTGACAGCGGGCAGAAGTGGCTGGCAGAAGGGGGAAAGAGACAGGATTGCCTTTGTGTGTGATGGGGGGGAGAGTGAGATAGCGCATGTCTCATCTCTCAGCGCAGCCACTAGACGCTCCCTCCACCACCAACTCCACCATCTTGCATGTGGAAGCATCTCCAAGCGGAGCTGAGCTCTCCCGGGGCTATGGACACTGCGGGAAAGAGCCTGGCCAGCAGCATGGCATGCTAGACTGGCAGCGCCTGCCTCCGTCTCCTCCTCTGCCCACCGTGTTTTGTAGCGGCTTGGATGCTTTTCCGCAGCATCTAGAGAGACACAGCCAGAGAAGATGCGGATTAGATGCGAGCAGATTGTGTTCTTAGTCTCTGGATTTTGGGGCATTGCGTTGGGAGCTTTCCCTAGCAGCGTGCAGATAGGTAAGGAGCTGGCATGGGTGGGCACTGGGGGCACTGGAGCTTCTTAGGGGGCACTTTGGGGCAGAAGGTGCTTGAGTGAACTTGAATGCGGGAGGGAGGGGAAAAAAAAAAGGTGCAGGTGCTTCATTGACAGCAACTTGATCCTGGAGCTCTTATTATTGCTATTTTAATGATCATGGTTGTTGTTGTTGAGTTATGTGGCTCTGACCTCTTCAGCAGCGCCGTACAAAGTCGCTTTAATTGCTTTATTTTTAGATTCTTGTAGTGTTGACCAAAGAGATTGCTATCTAAAGGATCTGAAGTGTATAGGAACCCCTTCTCCCCTACCCAAGCTCCTGATCTGCCACTGCATAACCTCTTGGTTGGTCAACAGACACCATTGTGCCAGCATGTCTAGAAGCAGAGCTGTGACTGACAGCTGAGAGTCAAGAGTTTCTGCAGCAGCCGCTCCAGGCACTGCTAGGCTGATCAATAATGATTAACAGGTCTGTTCGACTCTCAGATGACATCTGCCCCAAGGGTAACCTCCCCCCCCCCCCATCCCGTCCTGTCACCCGGGCCTGGCTGCCCCTGCATTGTGTGGATGCTTGATGTGTGTGATGGGATTGCTGCAGTAGCAGTGCTGTCCTGTTCTTGTGCAGTCTCCCCATCATCTCTACATGATGGCTAGTTGGAAAGTTGTGCAGGCGCGCACTGCATCCCTCCCTGTGGAAGCATTTTCTTTACTTTGATTGTATCCCTACACTAGAACATATTTTAATTTCTTGCAGCACACCTCTGCATCATTTATTGCACTCTGAGAGAAGAGACGATAGGGAAGGGTGGGGGGTTAATGAGATTCTGGGAGCAGACTGACTTTTTGTCCTCTCTGTATAATAAGACACTGCTTCTGTTCAGGCTGTTAGAAGTTCCTTCGAATCCTTCAGTGATGCGTTGGCCATCTTAATGAACACAGAGGGTATTGGGAGCTAGTGAAGTCAATTTATATTGCTGTAGATATCAGCTTGGCTTGTCAATTCAGTTTTCTGAAAGGTCATAGTGATTGTAGCATGGAAGGATACATTAAAGCCCACAATGCGTTAAGGTCAGTCATACGTTCGTGATGTATTTATGGGATGTGGCATGGCCAAGATGGAGCGTAGCGCCAGTTGAAAACATTTGCTAGTGGTCTGACAAGCGGCTTGCGACCAGCTTTCTACTGATCCCTTTTTCCATAAGATAATGGGAATAATTATTTTTATGGTGCACACATCCAAGGCAATGGTGGCAGCGGGTGCCAGCCTGTAGCAATCATGTCCAAGGTTGGGAAATATTAGGTATCTACCGTCAATGGTGCCCATGGACACATTGATCTGTAAATCAAATATGCAGGGAGAGTGACTGGCGAGGCAGTGCTGCCCATAGAAAGAAAGATCTGTCACCATAGTATGCTTGCAGTGTGGATGGAGGGTCATTGGTTCCCATAGATACATATAGATCTGTCACCCAAGTATACTGGGAGAGTGACTGGCGGAAACTGATGGGGCCATGGTGCCTATATACATATATATCTGTCACTCAAGTATGTTGGCAGAGTGACTTGTGGGAACTGGTGGGGCAATAGCAAATGTAGACACATAGATCTGTCACCCAAGTATGCTGGGAGAGTGACCGGTGAGTACTGGTGGGGCAATGGCGCCCATAGACACTTAGATATGTCATCCATATGCTGGAAGAGTGACTGGTGAGAACTGGCAGGGCAATGGCGCCGATTGACACATAGATCTGTAACCCAAGTATGCTGGTAGCGTGACTGGAGGGGCAATGGCGCCCATAGACAAATAGATCTGTCACCCAAGTATGCTGGGGGAGTGACTGGCGGGAGCAGGCGTGGCAATGGCGCCCATAGACACATAGATCTGTTACCCAAGTATGCTGGAAGATCACATGGCGGGAACAGTGAATCTCTGTGACTTTTATTGTTGTCTGCGGCTGATTTGTAGCGCACAACCCTGTCTCTGATTGGTCACAAACACAGAATTCAACACTTCCAGTACGTTTGATTGCCTCGTTATAAATGGCCATCCTTGCCGCCAGCCAATGCTCTCGCACTGGTTGTATAGCTGGAAATTAATAGTCCATATGTGGCCAGCTATTCTTCTTTGGACGCCCCAATATAATTTGTAGCTGGGTCTAAATATAAAGGGACGTGGTATATCTCCCAAAGGGAGTTTAGTTCCAAAAAATATATATGTGGAATTGTAAATAATGTGTAGCCCAATATTTATCCAGATGTAGCAAAATGGATGAACTGATATTGCTAAATAAAGTGTAAGATTGATCCCAGCATCCGAGCTGTGATTTGGAGCCCCCCCCTCCTTGAACTGTGCAATGCGATATGACCGTCCCTCCATGCACATGCCTCATATCAATGCCTCCAATTAATGGAGAGGAATGCTGCCAGTCCTTATTGCACCTGCATACAATGAACTGATTATCTGGATGGATGTGCACTCTTATAACTCTTCCCCCGCCTTTTCTTTTCTAGGTGGGCTTTTCATCCGAAATACAGATCAGGAATATACTGCTTTCCGGTTAGCGATTTTTCTCCACAACACAAGCCCCAATGAGTCGGAAGCACTTTTTAATTTGGTTCCTCACGTAGACAACATAGAGACAGCCAACAGCTTCGCCGTTACAAATGCCTGTAAGTATGCGTTGGATGGATGTGCGGGAGCCGTGGATAAATAGAAGCCATTTATAAGATACTTGTTCTTACACAGGCGTGTGGAGGGACCCGACTATTCATCTTTTGTAGTCCCTGAAAGCAAAACGCAGCGTGGATGAATACTTGTTAGCTTCTGACCTTAGAAATCGGCTTCTGCTCACTGTGCTGACTAATCAGATATGACATTTTCTTGGTAATGATATGCAGATGGGGCAGTGCGGTGGAGGGAGGGAGCGTTGGTAGGAGAGACATGGCAGTACACTAGGGTGAAACTACAAATCCTGTCATGCTTCTGCCTCTGGGAGTCATGCTTGTGGCCGTCAGAGCCTTGCAAAGCCTCATGGGACTTGTAGTTCCACAGCAGCTGGTTAATATCCAATGTCAGCTGAATACACCTAACCCCAGTCCGACCCCAGGTATTCAAACAGACGTTTGTCATAAGGCCCTGTAATGTTAAGGCAATATTAATAGGCAAAGTGCAGTTGCCCTTAGCAACTGTTCAGGTGTCAGTTTGCTGACACCGGATCAGTGACAGATTTTTGAGCGTTGGCTATGGACCTCGCGTTTCGCCGTATTAAATAAAAGTGGCAGTTGGACGCGTCCCTGTTAAATTTGCGGTCGTACTCTAAATTATCATTAGTGTTTTTTTTATGTTGCCTGTCATGTCACATATATACAGTCAGCAGTAAAATAAAAAGTGACACGCACCGATTGTTAAACAGAGGCAATGATAACGACAAGGCTTTCCGACTGAGGTGTTAAAACTGATGGAAAAAAAAATTGTTATAGCGCCCAGACGCCAGCCTCCCTCTGATATATATTGGGATGAGGTGTCATCTGATTGGTTGCCAAGGGCAACATCTTAATATTTCCTTCCTGTACTTTGATTTTTGCGGACGCTATAGAGTCACCAATGGCACCCAATCATGGATTAGCCGTTATAAACCAATATAACGCTTATCTGCGGCTGGTTGCTATAGCTTACGGCTCTGTATCGCTCCCTGGCTTAAAGAGAACTAGTCACTTATGCAAGAAACTGAAGATTCTGTTTTAAATAAATATAACTGTGTAGATGTATTTAGGAAATATTTAGATTTGTCCCGTTAGTGAGCTGTAAATAATTTGAAAGTCGGGAGTAAAGAAGGTTAACGCTCAAAAATAACACGTTGCACCGTTCTAATCCCCTATCTTTTTATCATTATTTGTTTTTATTTATCTTTTCTTTTTGTTTGGTCTAGACTCTAGACAAGAATGACGTTCCAGTCTGCTCCTGCGGACCTGCGCAGACAGAGATATGGCGCTGCGTCTGCTAAAGTGTTGGTGTGTATATGGTGGAAAGGAATGCCCCCCAGGATATGTGATGTCAATATATCAGAAGACATTACTATCCACCATTTATAAAACAATATGTAAAGGAAAATGGTGCCAGATCTCTGTCTGCTCATGTGTGAGTCACTGTGTCATCGGGGAGCTGGCGGAGTCGTTGGGGGCCAGCTGTGTCATTGGGTGGGCAGCTGTGTCATGGGTTAATATCCAATGTCAGCTGAATACACCTAACCCCAGTCACTGTGTCATCGGGGAGCTGGCGGAGTCGTTGGGGGCCAACTGTGTCATTGGGTGGGCGGCTATGTCATTGGGGGGCTGCATCATTGGGGCCAGCTGCATTATTGGGGTGGCCGGCTGCATCATTGAGGCAACATTAATAGGGGGTTAGCTGCGTCCCTGGGGGCCAGCTACATATCATTGGGGGCCAACTGCATCATTGGGGGGGGAAGGGTTGGCTGCATTATTGAGGCACTAGCTAAGTCATTTGGGGGCCAGCTGAAGCCATTGGGGGGCTGACTGTGTTATTGGGAGCCGGCTGCATCATTGGGAGGGTGGCTACGTCATTGGGGGCCAGCTGCATTACTGGGGTGGCCAGCTGCATCGGTGGGGGGCCAACTGCATCATTGGGGGGGGAAGGGTTGGCTGCATTATTGAGGCACTAGCTAAGTCATTTGGGGGCCAGCTGAAGCCATTGGGGGGCTGACTGTGTTATTGGGAGCCGGCTGCATCATTGGGAGGGTGGCTACGTCATTGGGGGCCAGCTGCATTACTGGGGTGGCCAGCTGCATCGGTGGGGGGCCAACTGCATCATTGGGGGGGGAAGGGTTGGCTGCATTATTGAGGCACTAGCTAAGTCATTTGGGGGCCAGCTGAAGCCATTGGGGGGTTGACTGTGTCACTGGGGGCCGGTTGCATCATGGGGGAGGGGTCCACTACAGCATTAGCCTGAATTCCAACATTTTGCAACCCTTACATGGCAACATTGATTTTCTAAAGGAGCTAAGAATGCTCACTCAAAAAAGAAAGAAGTTTTGTTTCAATTCTCCAATTATCTGCAGATCAAATATAAACAAACAGACAGAAATGTTCACATTGGATAATTGAAATGAAACGTCACTGTGTCTCCCAGATCTGGAGTGTGCATAACAGTATCAAATAGCATTGCTCATGACTACAAGGCTCTGTTATTTTATACTGATTGTGAAGCATTTTTGTGTGCGATTGTGCGTACTTTTCGGCCATTCTCAGGCTTAAGCGTTTTTGTTTAGCTAAAGGAAAGCTAGTTATTAGGAGGTGCACAAAAAACACATGTTTTTCAGGCGCTCTCATTGAGTTCTATGGGGTGAAAAAGTGTGATTCTGATGAAAAGATGTCCATATACTTTTTACATTACAAGTGACAGGAGACACAATGCTCAGGTGTGAACAGGCACCTCTGAAAATAATGGGATTCTCCATGTTAAGCGTTGTCGCATATGTGACAAAACGCTCAGGTGTAAATGGGGGTCAAGCTTAAAGTGGAACTCCAAAACTCAGAACTTGTGCAATAAAACATTTGTACCTGCCTGCTCACAAACTTGTACACTGAGCTGCATATATAGAGCCATGTGTACAGTTTTGGAGTTCCTCAGTGCGGCCATGAATGAGCTCCTGTTCGCTTGCATGGGAGTTATGTCATCCAGAAATTGCCAGTCAAGTTGACCAAAGATCCCGCACCCGGAAGAACCTGCGCGGAAGATGCCGGCAGTGGCAAGCGGGACTTTGTATCATAAGTATTGGAGCCTTTAGTTCCGATTCAAGAGTCAGACAGCTACATAAGTGGACAGATATATTTCTTTCTTGAAGAGGAACTTCCCTCTCACTACAGTTTTGTATCCCCTAATACCTTATCCGTTGGGTTGTCATCAAAGAAACATACTTACCTGTCCAGTGAATGCGTTTTATTGCATAAGCCAATGCTCCGTCGTGGCATGCCGGGCCCCAGTCCACCACCTTCTGATATCACCAGGGGCCATGGTGACATCAGAAGGAAGATGGTGTTTTGGGACCCAGTGTGCTGTGCCAGAGCGGTGGCTTACTCTAGAAAGTGGCCCATGCACAGTGTCGTAGGGAAATTGCCTGCCACATGCGCATAGTAGCGGAGATTGCACAAAGCCCCCTGGGATACGTGATGTCAGTACCCCAGGAGACTTCTGGGAGGGAAGTCATTCTCGCCTAAGCAAGAAAGCCATAAGTGTGGCGCAGGGACCCACAGAAAATACTTTCTTATTAAAAAGAAAAAATGTAATATCAGATTATGTAATGGGGGAAGGAGAAACATGAAGGCAAGCCATTAAAGCAAGCTTTACCTCTGTACCGTTGTCATCATTTAAGGCAAATTGCTGCATGAGCCCAATCCTGACTGGTTCTCTTGAAGTAACAATCCTGCGCGAAGAATAATGAAGGCGTGCAGTCATCCGTAACAACCAATCATATTTCAGCTTATTGAGGTCACATCAGTTCAGGAGGACCTCCGATCAGTTGCTACGGGTTGCTGCAGTGTACGCATCGCCTCGCCGCCTTGCCAAATAAGCCGGCATGCTGTCAAAGAGGTAATTTTAATATTGTCGCCGTGGCCAAATCATTTTTTTTTAAATTTCATAAATATAACTGTTTATGCTGTAGGTTGTTTTCGTTGATATAGCCTCTGTGCATTTTTTGATAGCTGCTAGCTCGTCACAAAAAGGTCTTAAGGATATGCAGCAAATCCAGACAACAGTGTGGGATTAACATAATGCAGATGCAGCTTTCTGCTTCAATGTATAAAACATTCGCCTGATACAAAAGCCAATAGCCGTGTATAACAACAACACATTGTCTTCTTTCTTTTTTTATGTCAAGGATTTTGTATGTATGTGTCATTGGAGGATTGGGGTAGAAGTGCTGCATTGGGCCCCCTTTTTTTAGTGTGTGTGTGTGGTTTAATGTGTGTATCGCCTTTTGGGAAAGCACTTGCTACAGCGGTTACGCAGTGGCCTGGAAATTAGGCAGCCAGTGATGTGGAAGGTTATCTTTATAAGTAGGTTGACGCTGAAGCTTGATCTGCTGATGTCACTTAAGGCTGCCCTGCTCCTATATTCTGGGTTATAAATGTCTGTTATCATCACGTAATGCATAGATCCTCCGAGTGTGTCTCCGTGCATCCATACATAAGTGCCAGAGCAAGTTAAAATCTGCTCTACTCCGTTTCACAGAGGACACCGTCTGAAACCGCTGCCATATATTGAGCTGTTATCAGCCCGGGCACCCAATTAATACTGTTCCTATGTTTTCAGGGAAATTTGCATTGCATGTGGCGGTCCGCTACGCTGGGGCCCGGCGTTTCGGGAGTCAGTTGTTGTGTTTTTAATCCTTTCGGTTTGTGTAACTTAGGTGTGAAATAAAAATGGTCTCATAATTATTATCTAAATAATAAAAGCAAATCGGAAAATATGATCAAGTATTGCTAAATTGTTACTTATGGTGCGATACTTATTGTGTTGTTAAGCAGTTACTTGCGTTTTTTGGAAGCGCCCTGTTTTTCAAGTTCTGCTTTTAACTTTTTTTTGTGTAATATGTAAGGAAATGCAGTGCAGAAACACGATAAAACGCGACTGCAAAACACGCGTGTGCTTA